TTGCTTCTCTGGTTCGTTGGAGTTCGATGGTGACGCTTCTGTGTACTTGTCATCCATGTTCAGTTTGTTCTTGGTTCTAGTCAGAGGAGTTATGCATTGCTCACTGTTTCACGATGGTTTCTGTTTAGACGTTTATTAGTAGTGCCATGTGTTGTCAGATTTCGCCTCATTCAGAAGTTTTATGAAGATCAATAGGTCTATGATTTTTCTTTTACCCACATTTGTATTGGTACAGATGCCTACTAGTATCTTTTCTTTGGGATTTTGTTATTGATCAGTTTGGCTCCAGAGTATAAAGTGTTCAAAAAAAAAAAGAGAGAGTATAAAGTGTTCTTAATGATCGGCATAGTAATTATAGCTCAATTGTTTACTTATTTCAGTAACAGAAGTGAGAAGACAATGGATGTGCACGTTACAAAAATTATCATAAAAAACTAAATTGTGTCAATAGTAGTCACAAGATACATAATATACTCTCAGTTGTTTCTTCCTTAGCTGCTGTAAGAAATAGAGGTTAATCATGTTTCTCATATTTATAGAGTACCTCATCTAACAAAAAGATTCCTTATTCATAATTCATGTTATTTCATAGTTTAAGTACTTGATTGTATAGACTAGTTACTTATGCAAATTCAAAGGGTCCAGTATGATATCATACGATCAAATAAAATTGTTTGTGTTCTTTTTTGGGTGTTGGGATTATTCACTTAACAAAAATAGTTGGTCGAATTTTATGTATAATCACTTTATCTTATTTATATAAGTTTACTAGATTTTGATCCGCGCTTGAAAAGCGCGGGTTTTATTTTGATTGTAACAAAATGTATCAAATGATTCTAATTTTATTATATGATAGTTTTATATGTGAAATTTGATGTATATTTAACGTTTTAGTAGGATCTTTTCATTGAGTTTTGCATAACCGAGTCAGTTTGTGATTGAACCGAGAATCATAAAAGTAAGTGTTGTGAGAGTATGAAGAACTAAAACACATATTTGATTGAAACCAAAATTGGATCGGTCCATGGCCTATAGTAAATTTGAAAAATCAATACTATTGAAAATGCCCAAATTTGTATTACAAATTTGTAGTTAAATCCAATAAATATGTTAATCGAATTATATAGTTACTTTGTAAGTTAAAATAATTAGATTTATGATTTTTGAAAAAAAAAATAATATTCAATTTTGACCCACGCTTCTTATATAATTTATTTATATTAGTTAAAATAATTACATCTAGGATTTTTGAACAATAAAAATAATATTCAATTTTGATCCGTGCTTCTTATATAGTTTATTTATGTTAGTTAAAAGAATTACATCAATGATTTTTGAACAAAAAAAATAATATTCAATTTTGAGCCACGCTTCTTATATAATTTATTTATATTAGTTAAAATAATTAAACCTATGATTTTTGAACAATAAAAATAATATTAAATTTTGACCCGTGCTTCTTATATAGTTTATTTATGTTAGTTAAAATAGTTACATCTATTATTTTTGAACAATAAAAATAATATTCAATTTTGACCCGTGCTTAAGAAGGGTGGGTATTTTTTTGTTGACCATAAAATAAAATATTAAATTAATTTATGAGCGTCAAAGGTAACTCAAAAATAATTTTTTCTGAGAGTCAAAGATAACTCCAAGTATATAAGGTATAATTTAAATATTGCAAGATTCTGGAGTAACAAATGAAATTTGTTACTCTAAGTATCTCATTTTCTGTTTCAATATGCAACAAATATAGTATAAATCAATTTTCATTTATTATATCATAGTATATTGATCTGTTTTATACAACACTATGTATTTTTCATATAAATAAATCAGTCAATAAATCGTCAAGAAAAAAGAAAATATTATTTAAAATGAAAATTATTGGGTGAAAACAAATTGCGATTTTGATTCAGCGAGGATTAACACTCGAGAATCATCATTACACGATTGTCAAAGAATAACTAAAAACATTATTTCTAAACAAACATAATCCTAAAACGGATCGATGGAGAATCAACATTACCTCTGCGATTTTGATTCAGCCAGGGTTAACGCTCGAGAATCATCATTACCTCTGTGATTATAAATAAACTTTATAATTTAGTCTATACTATTATAAAGTGAAAACATTGAAAAAGATAAATACCGTTGTTTAAATTCATCTGTCTCTGGTATTTCAGGATTAACAAACATCTGACTTACGTCATAAGCATTTGAGATTTAGACTTCACTTATAACCAAAACTAAATCATAAGTATCTGAGTAATTTCTTTTCCCAATCGAGGAATGTATGTCTTGTTACACGAGGTATGGATCTTACTTCCCTATATAAACATAAAACATTATCATTTAGGTTAAACTTTAACGAAATGAAGATATCTAAATCAAAAATCTACACAAAACGATAAATTTACACTTGCATCACAAAAGATTAGTTCCATGGACTCCCTTAGTCTTTCATGAAATGTCTCCACGTATGAAGGATTTTGACTAGGATGCGACAGCAGTCTTCCTCGATTTTGTATCGATCAATAAAGACACCTGCAAATTATTATAAATGTATGAATATAGTATGATTTATAAATAAGGGTAAATTTAGTGAGACATGAAAACATATTTCATATATGAAAATAGATCATGAAATGAAGGTTTATAACACAATATAAATGAAATGAAAGTTTATATAGTCCATGTATGATGCATATGCCAAAAAATGTCAACCAAAAAAGTATAGTGTTAGAAATATATAGATTGAAATCATGTAATATAAGGTCTATAACACAATAGAATTGTATGAAATATAGTATGGTATATAAATACGGGTAAATTTAGTGAGACATAAAAACATATTTCATATATGAAGATATATCATGAAATGAAGGTCTATAACACAATATAAATGAAATGAAAGTTTATAAATTCCATGTATGATGCATATATCAAAAAATGTTAACCAAAAAAGTATAATGTTGAAAATATATAGATTGAAATCATGTAATATAAGGTGTATAACACAATATAGATGTATGAAGTATAATTTGGATATGATTATAAAGTCCATATATGATTTATATACCAAAAAAGTCAACCATAAAAGTATAATGCTGAAAATCTATAGATTGAAATCATGTAATATAAGGTGTATAATACAATATAAATGTATGAAATATAGTATGAAATGTGGTTATAAAGTCCATATATGATGCATATACCAAATCGTGTAATATAATGTTGGAAATCAATAAATGTATGAAATATAGCATAAAATATGGTTAGAGTAATTAATGGGAAGAAAGAGAATAATTAATGGGAAGAAAGAGAATAATTAATGGCTAGAGTAATTAATGGGAAAAGAGAGAATAATTCGGTATATGCAATATGTGATATGATTTGTAAGAAATCCATATATATATAGATGTAAGACGAAAATAAATTACCAAAATGCCATTAATGAAAGATGCACACAACTTCTATCAGTCGATTTTTCAAGGGTGCCTTCACTTTTAATAGTATAGATGGATTTTAAGGGATAGTTTAATGAATAAATGTAAACGAATTGGGAATTAAGTATGGAAAAAAGTAAACTAAATTTAAAAATGACTTTATTTGAAAAAAGAGAAATACTAAATCATAGTCAACTGCTAGATTCTGTTTATATCAATACCATTAAACCAAAAATATTATTTTTAATAAGTTTTTTTATGTTTTCCAAAATTACCTTTAATGATATGAATAAACTTTTTTTCATTAATGGCAATATAATATTTTGGGCCTAAAAAAATATAATAATGAGTCTTATTAATGGGCTAAATTTACTTTCTAATTATTTCTGAAGTTCCTTTTAAAAATAAACACATCAGCCTTAATTGGCGTAATTAGAGGAGGAATTTTGATATTAGTCTGCGGGTCGATCGATTTGGAAAAATTTAAGTTGCGGGTGCATGTCAAGTGTATTTTTTACGGGAAGGATACCGGTTCTTCTAATTTCAATTGCGGGTAACCAATAATCCAGATTGGAGTAAATTTAGATGCAAAAACATTGTTGTTCTGGTTCTCAGATTTCCATGTCTCAGGTTCTTGAAGACATAAACAGGCTTCTAATGTCTGAATACCATCGCAAATCATATGTTGTAACTAAAGTAATTGAGTCCTCAAGAGCTTGGCCGAACAATGCTCTCTCCAAATTCTTTGTCAGATAAATACTGATAAGATCATATCACCAACTCAGATGTATTTTAAAAGAATGTAGCAGCAGAGAACAAGACTACTACTAATGTAATTAGGATCCTCCTCGTTGACAACAAGAGGGTAATCAGCAAGCAGCTTCTGCATTTTCCTCCTCTTCTCCACCATGTCAATCTCCTCCTCTTCAACATCAGGATGGTTATCAATCACCTCTCTTATCTTCTTCCTCCATTCCCGTCTCTCCTCTGGATCATCCAAACTTGCTGACCTTTTCTCAGAGGTATCTTTCTTCACTTCATCATCTTCATCATTGTCGCTTTCATCTTTGCCTCTCCATTTCTTCTTGCCAAGTTTATAAACTAAGCTTTCACATTTCTTCTACACCTCATAGCATTAACCTTTTAACCATATGCCAAAGTGAAAAAGGTTTTAAATTGAGTTGTTTGGAACTTAAGTAAGTAAGCAAAATTAGAGGAGAGAAACTAACCGAAGAAGTAACACATACATGGAAATGAATCAATCTGACGCTGTTTGATTCTGAAATACTGAAATAGAACACAGACATGGAAATGAACTAGTTTCAACGAACCTGGAATTGAGACGGAAACAATCTGACGCTATTTGATTCTGAAATAAAACACAGAAATGAAAATCAAAAGGCTCCGCCAGAGGAGGAATCGAGGTATTTGATTTTGTTGTCTTCTTCCTCTTCCCTAACTAGAACTCTGTAAGATCTGATAAATTAGTGATGGAGTTGACGGAGGAAGGATGAAAAGAAGACCCAATTAGTTGTCATGTCACCAAGGACTCAGTCCTTAAACACCTTATATAAGGATTGCTGCTTACCAATCTCAACTCTGTTAATGTTTTTTTTGAAATCACCCTAGGTTAAAGCGCTAAGGATTCCTGAACAACCTGCGCTGCATATGCTCTAAGAAACAGAAGCTAGTCATGTTTCTCATATTTATAGAGTACCTCATCTAACAAAAATATTCCTTATTCATAATTTCATGGTATTTCATAGTTTAAGTACTTGATTGTATAGACTAGTTTAAAATTGTTTGTGTTCTTTTTTGGGTGTTGGGATTATTAACTTAACAAAAATAGTTGGTCGAATTTTATGTATACTCACTTTATCTTATTTATATATAAGTTTATGGATTTTAAGGGATAGCTTAATGAATAAATGTAAACGAATTGGGAATTAAGTATGGAAAAAAAGTGAACTAAATTTAGAAATGACTTTATTTTTTGAAAAAAAAAAGAAATACAAAATCATAGTCAACTGCTAGATTTTTTTATATCAATACCATTAAAACAAAAATATTATTTTTTAATAATTTTTTTTATGTTTTCCAAAATTACCTTTAATGATATGAATAAACTTTTATTTTCATTAATGGCAATATAATCTCTTGGGACTAAAAACAATATAATAATGAGTCTTATTAATGGGCTAAATTTACTTTCTAATTATTTACGAAGTTCCTTTCAAAAATAAACACATCAGCCTTAATTGGCGTAATTAGAGCAGGAATTTTGATATTAGTCCGCGGGTTGACCCGCCACGGAGCAGGTCAATCGAGTTGTAAAAATTTAAGTTGCGGGTCAAGTGTATTTTTTTGGGAAGGATGCTGATTCTTCTAATTTCAACTGCGGGTACCCGGTAATCCGCAAAAATAAAAAAAAATTTAAATTTATTTTTCAAAAATATACTAAATTTCGTTAAAAATAATTCTATTTTTTAATATTAAAAATTTAATTAAAATATACTATTTAATATTATTTTTTAGAAAAATTAAAAAATAATTAGTTTTATTATTTAATAATTATTCACTGGTCTCGCAGATTACCCGCAAAATTAAGTGAGACGAATGTAGATAAAATATATTTTCTTTGCGGGTCGGGCGAGGCGAGTTTGACCCGTTTCCCAACAGCAAGCTTAGTTAATTGATATTATTTTTACAAAATAAAACTACACAATTACATACAATATATTTACATAGATATTGATGATAGCAATAAATGAAAATCGGCATAATTTTTTAAAGTTATATTAGATAGTGATATTTTATATCATCAAATTAAAAGATTCTGTAGATAAAACAACAGAAATGGTATCCGCGTTTTTTAAGCACGGGTCAAAAAACTAGTTAAGCAATTACATTGAAAAGCAATACAATATGAAACATCTGTTAGAGCATCTCCAAAAGACACTCTATAACACCAAATATAGAGGTTTTGGCTCTCCAAAAAGAAATTTCAAAAATTAAAATTTGAAGTTTTAAGGAGTGGGACTTCATATTTGAAGTTTCAATTCTCAAAACTTTATTTACATTTTGATCCTTACAATTAATTATATATTATATTAATGACTTTTTAATATTTTCTCGTCTAACATTATAATCCTTAAAAATTTTATATCTTATAAATATTTTAGTTTTTTTTATAAATTTAAGTTTTATACATAAAACTTTAAAATAAATTTTATATTATTTTAAAACTAAAATTAGACTTCACGAATATTAAAAAAGAAACTTAAAAAAAAAATTTAGAAGGTACATGAAAAGCATAGTTATTACAAAAGTTTAAATATTGCAACAATATTAATAGTATGGTAAATTTTCTCTGAAACCTTCAAAATCACCAAAATATTATCCAAATAAGTATTGTGTAACTAAAGATGGAGCATTATGGAAATAATTTTATGAAATAATGTGATATTTTGTTTGTATTTTATTATCTAGTTATGTATTTCTATTTACAGTTTTATATTTTAGAGTAAATATTTTTTAATTAGTATTATTGTAATTATCAACGGCTAAATTTTAGAAAAAAGGAAACAACCCAATGTATTCATTAATGATCCGATCCTCAGAAACAAAAATTGCAACAAACACAATCTTTATAAACGCACTCAGTTCCCTAACGAATTAGATTTTGCGTACATTCTTCTCTCGCAAGACAACAACGACACTCCCAAATTTAGGGTTTCTTTCTCTGATTCGTTGTCTTCTTGCTTTTAGTTACTCTTCGATTTCATTCTCTCTACCAATGACAACAGTAACAAGTATGAGTCGGGATCCTTGGTTCTTGTCTTCTTCCTTGTCAAAGTCTGATTGTGCGGCTGCGTTAAAGATTAGATTTGCAGACATAATTGTGAAGTCGAGTAGCAACAAGTCCGAGGCTTTGATGAAGATCACAAGGGAGAAGGAGTTTCTAGAAAGGAACCAACTTGAAGAGAAAGCAATGATGGAAGAAAGGATGAAAATCAGACAAGAGGAAAGGCTTGCGGTCGTAAAGGTGGAATAAGAAGCAAGATTAAACCGTAAGTTCGAACATCCCTTGTCTGACGTGAAAGTACTGTTAAATCTCTGTGGCGGTTCCAGTCAGGCAAGAAATCGATCTTTTTTCAAACAGTTTGGATTGGTTTTAACAACTGATGTTGATGATGATCTTATTGATGATCTTGAGGAAGGTGAAATCTTTTAGAGTCCAATAAATTTTGCATATCAACAGAATTTGGTTGGTTTTAACAAGTGATGCGTGATGATCTTGATTCTTGAAGAAGCTGAAATCGTGTAGAGTGTAGTACGTAGTATCCTGACATCTTTTTTATTTGTTTTCTCTGTATTCCTGTGACCATCGTATAGAATTGTTTGATGGCTAATAAATAGTCTTGAGTTATACTTCTCTTCTTGCTCTGTTAGATCCATTCACAGATTCTTTATCAACGATGTTGGTTTTGTCTTCTTGGCTTCATTATGCATTTAGAGTGTAGTTTCCTGACAATTAAATATCGAATCATAGCCAAATTTGCATATAAATTGTTTTTTTTTTATTATGTATGATCTACGAATATATGCTTACAATTGATAGTAAAGGTTTTGTTTCTTAAAAACAGCTTGTTGGTTTTGATGAACCATTGCGGATTGATTATCAATCTGTTGATTCCTCTGTTCTAAGTACAGAAATGGTAAAACCAACAAGTTCTAATTCTCTTCTTTTTGGCTGCTTTCAGACTCCTTAAATCCATTCATATATCCTTATTCTTCAGCTAAGATGGTTGTTTGATTGTGCTCAGTTTTTCAGATTCTTGTTAGACAAGTAATCCCCAACACATTTTTGACCACTCAATTGATTCTCTTTATTTATGTATTTATTTATTTAGGATTGACCAAGCTCTGAAGTGTCCAAGCATATTCTCTTGACAGCAAACACTATAGTAACAAGACACTACGCTTATAGCTGATTGATCTTGTTTTGAGACGCAGCTCGCTAACAGAAAAACGGAAATATTCATAAATGCTAGTTTTGGTGGTGAGAGCTCTGGATTTTCGTGTGTATGCTTCTGCCCTAGACCTCCTCTTTATATACTCCTCATCTTGGCTACCCGATCTTTCCATTTCGCCCAGATTTGACTTAAATCGGGAACTTTCCATTCTTCTCGATCCTTCTTTTTCTCCTGCGGAAATCTTCTATTTCTCTTCAAATCTTCCTTTTATGTTTAAACTTGACTTTTATTTTCTTTCTGCGAGTAAACCGTCAAAACGTTATCAAATCCGCGGGTTTGATTCCGTTGAAATCGCGAGATGGGTTTTATCGCGTTTTAGGTCCTTCCGGACCGTTTTGCGATAAAAACCGTTTTCCGACTTTTACGGAAT